ACTGCTGGCCGGATTTGTGCTTAACGCTTCCCTGACAATGTCTGTAGACTGGCATTAAATAAAATTGTTATTATCGCTATCATTAGTGCCCTCCCGATGACGATGCCTGTAAACTGGCATTTAATAAATTAAATTAAACTGCTGAAGAAAAGGCTACACAGGACAGACAGAATTTTGTAGTGAATAGGGATCATGTTGCATGCGACATAAGCGCCATTAATAAACGTACGGATAAGAGGCTCTACGAATGGACATTTCGTGGTCTTAAACATGCCGTAATGACAAAGTTTGTAAGACCCAAAGATACTCTCTCTTTCCGAACATAAAAGCTAAACAGAACGCAATCTGCTTCTAAGTAAGTAGATGTTTTTATGCATGTTTTTTACGAAATATATTCGAATTAATGGGGCATCGCAATTCGATGGGAGAAAATCACACTACTTAAATAGTCATTTTACTGAATGTGCTTTTTGAAGGCGGTCAGAGAGAAGTGCATTTAAAATTCGGCATCCTGGCGTGACTGGAGGATGTCTTGGGATCATGCTGCATGCGAATCAACATTACAACCACACCTGGGTAACACTCCCTAATCGAAGACACGTTCCACAATTCCGGTTAACACTTCAGGGGATAGGGCATGGAAGTGCAAAATTGCGACTTTAAAAAAAAAAATAGGCAAAACGAGCATACCTCAATACTGGCACGCGTTTGTCGAATTTCCTCCTCTAAGAAGGAACGATACGCGGGCAGGCTCAGTCCCAGGTGAGTTCGCTGACCCATTTCCTCGTCCAACAGGTGATTATAAGCGTCCAACTGATTCAGGGCACCCCTCACCTGTTCCAGCAACTGTTCGGCCTTCGGCTTATCCACTAAAAATCAGAAGAAATGGAATGGATGAAGCTAAACTTCTAGCAACGACAATCCCCCCCCCCTCCCCCACTCGGACACCGGATGGCGGTAGACAGAACGCCGGGCCCGCAGTGGCCGTGGAGAATGCCCTGTGAGAATAATTGACGGTGGCCGTAAAGGAGGGCTCGTGATTGGCCCGAGATAACTCAGATCCCCTAATGAATAATCTGGAAAATCTGCAAGAAATATACCAAGTTAATCTCTAGTCCGTAGAAGGGACATCTCTAAAGATACTTTTTAACACGTTTTGAGAAGCCGGAGAGCACAGTCTTCAAAGTTTCAATGACACACTTACGAGGCGACTTAGCTTTGTATGCATTTGTGATAGGTGGTGTAATTGTCATAAAGAAGTCCAAAGCCAGTATATGGTGACTAACAAAGGTCTGATGGCTCATCTAAAGGTGAAAAAGCATGTGCTGTCGCTTTAAACAGACGGGCAAGTGCTCTCAATGACAAAATGCAGACGGCTTTATTTTCAGAAAAACGAGTTTTCAGAAAGTTTGTTCCGCCGAACAGTTCTATAAAACGTTAGAGTGGTGTCCACATGATGAGATAAATGGAGGAATTGGGCATTGCGCCGAAACCCACGGGAGATACTTTTAGGGAGGCCTTCACCTGCAAAAGACTGCTTAACTAAGATCGCAATATTGGTTGGTATGGAACATAGTAACACAGTAGCATGCAGCACATCAGCTGAATCTCAAAAAAATCATTCAGAATAATGTGACTACTTGTTATACGAGGCGCCCTTTCTTCCATTGATGGTCTTCTATGTTTATACGATCCAACCATATTTGAGTGAGCCCGTTTAGGTGGACGCACATTTGCAAATTTTCAATCAATCAATAATCACCAGAAGAATACATTTCTATAAAATGCAGTGAGTGGTAGGGACAGAGAATAGAGGCCAGGATGTTAAAAGCGCAAGAGGGGTACGCAGAGTTTAGTCAGTCAAGCGGGGAGGACGAAACGAGGGGACGGGGGGGGGGAGGTGGGTAGCAGATGTCTCCAAAACGGACCATTTGGTAGATG